GCGGGACCTGCCTGGAGTCAGGGAAGTGCCAGAGGCCCCCGCTTAGCTTTGCTCACTTTCACCTGAAATCCAAGGATTTCACCCGTTCTGGTGACCCAGCCTCCAGCTCAGGGAGGGGAGGAAAAGCTTGGACCAACTACTCTCGGGAGAGCCCTCGGCAGGCCAGCCCTCTCTGAGACCCACAGGACAGAGGGGCCCTGCCCTCCCTAGCCCAAGGGTGAGCCCCCAGTGTGCTGTGTGGCCCCAGGCCCAGCCCCCGGTCCCTGGGGTGGGGGCGGCTGCTGTGTTTACTGTGCCCGGACAATAGGGCTCTGTGGCTGGAACGTCATGCTATGTCTGTGCCCCATGCCCGCCCCAGCCCGTGCCAGCCTCCACCCGCTCCCTGAGCCAGGATGGAACCCAGGGCTTGCTGAGGCACTGTGGGCACCAACAGGCACTGGGGTGAGGGTGGCTGCAGGAGTGGGGCAATGCCAGAGGCCGGGGTCACAGCATGGGGCGCCAGCCCTGCCCACACCCGGCCCACTACAGGCGCTGTAACTGCAATGGGCCTGGCTGCCTCCTCCATTGCTATAGCAACGGCCTCGCACGAGCTGCTGGGAGGAGGAGGAGAGTCCTCCCTGTGGCTGACGGGCGGCGGGTGCCACCGGGGCATCTGGTGACAGGCGGCAACACAGGTCTAGCACGCCCGGGGCGCCCCACACGGGTGCCTGCAGGTGGCCCAACCTCTGTCTCTCAAGGCCAGCCCAGTGCCGTCACATCGCCTGGAGGCCCTCTCTGGGCTTGACCCCTCCCTGTAGCCCCTGCCTACTGTGTCGGGGGGAGAACAGGTGAGACCCCAGGGTGGTGCTGCCACCTGCCACCCTAGTGACTTCATGACAGTGACCCTGTCCCTTCATCAAGAGCAGCAGCCTGTAGCCTGAGGGTAGACGCACATCCAGCTAAGAGGGCATGGGCCACACTCAGCCAGGGAAACCGAGGTGAAGAGCTTGGAGGAGCCTGCTAGCAGTGCAAAGACCCTTGGCACCCACCCTCCAGACCCTGCCACAGCAGGCCGCCAGCAGGGCAAACCTCTGCCATCCAAGCCTGGCCCCAAGAGTCTAGGTCTGACGTCCAAGATCCTTCCCAGAAAAGTGGGAATCCAGCAGGAGTGTGGGGGTGCCCAGCGGCCCCAGCCCCACATCACAAGCCTGGGAAGGACGAAGCCTCCCTGGGGGTACAGTTCCCACCTGCACCCACAGAGGCTAAGGACCTCCACTGTGGGCCAGTGGGCCTCTGGGAGCCCTGTAGTGTGGGGACCCAGAAAGGTCCTGGGGAGCGGCCCAAACCAGCAGCTGGGAGGAACTTCTGTGGTCAGGACAGTGCATGCCTCCCACCTGCTTGCCCCATGAGCCACACTCCTTTCCCTGAGCATTCTCCCTACTGGAACAGGGGCCACCATTCCAGCCTCTGCTCCCAGGCAGAGTGGGGGCCCTTCATGACAACCCCCGGGGGCCAACACTAATGCATGCCACGGTCCACATCCCTGTTCCCCTGGCCCTGCTCTGCTGTGCCCGGTGACCCAATGCCAAGGACTGCAGGCCTGGTCCCCAGGACCCCACTCAGCCAGCCCCAGGTGGCTGGGCAGGGCATGTACCTAACCCGGGCTCCCTGCCAAGGCCAGGTGCCCAGGGGAACGCTGCCAGCCGTGGTGATGATGGCCGCCCCACCTGCCTGCAGCCTGGACTTCCCGAAGAGCATGTTGAAAGATAAACAGGCAAAGAATGGTGTAGCCCCAGGGGTCCTGGCTGGGCAAGAGGGTGTGTCTGCCTCAGGTGCCCACCTGCTCTGGGCCTTGGCCTGGACAATACCAAGGACCTTCAGAAACCCAAGCGAGCCCAGGCCTGTGGCCTGGAAGCTGTCTCTGCCCTTCCCAGGCTGGAGCCAAGCTGGCCAGCTGGGGGTTATGGCAAGACACCCATGACCCCAAGCCCCTCACTCCACTCAGGACTTCTGTCCCTGACCGCTATGTGTCCTGCACCCTCAGGTCCACTGGCTGCCCAGGCAGTGCTGGGTAACCTGGTGGTCACAGCTCCAAACAGCAGACCCAGCCCCCAGAGGAGGTGGGGGGAACCAGGAGGGAATCCAGTGGACCAGGCTCAGGGAGAACTGACCCCAAAGGACAAAGGGGTGCAGAGACTCAGGCTGGCCGAGGCTGGCACAAGGACGTTCCCAGTGGCGAGGGCATCAGCAAGGGTCATGGATATGCGGGGGGTGGGGGGGTGCGGGGGAGAGGATGGTGCGGGGGAGGGGAGGGGAGGTGGACAGATGCCACGGCAGGCCGCCGTCCAAGGGCAGGGGACGGGTGGAGGGAGGGCAGGGACGGGGTCTCCCCCAGGCCCCAGTGAGGCTGGGCCCAAGGACCATGGAGCCTGGCAACTAGATGGAGCCCCCTACGCCTCCCCTCTGTCCTGAGAACCGGGGCCTCCCTGAGCCAGAGTCCTGAGCGCCGTTGCCCCCGCCCACAGCGGCCCCAGAGAGCGCGCTGCGGAGGGCGCGGGTGCCGTGACTCAGCCGAGCACCGCGATGTCAGCGGACGCGGGGCCCGGGCTGGGCACGACCCAGCCACCTCCCCGGAGGCCGCAGCGCCTGGAGGGGCGGGCAGGGCCCGGCGGGGAGGGGGCGCAGGCCTGTGTTGGTCCCGGCGCCCGCCAGGGTCTGCGCGCGCCCGGCCGTCCGCACGTGCGCGCGGGGGGCGCGCGGCCTCGGGCTGCGAGCGGGCGCGTGGGGTGGGCTCACCGGGCTCCGGCGTTTGAGCGTCACGTTCTTCCAGAGCAGCAGCTGCAGCTGGTGCAGGAAGCCCATGGCGGGGCCGCGCTCCGCCGCCTCAGCGCCGCGGCCCGCTCCTCTGCGCGCCCCGCCGGGCCCCGCCGCCCGCCGCGCCGCTGGGCATCGCCCGCGCGGGGGCGGGGCGCTCGGGCGTCCAGGACCCGATCGGCGCTGGCTCCGCCCCGGCGGCCGGCGACAGCGACTCTGCCCGCGCCCCGCCCGCCCCCGCTTAAAGGCGCCGCGCTCCGCCCCTGCCCGCCAGGAGGCGCCCGCCGCCTGTGCCCGAGACCCCCACGCGCCGCCGCCGGGAAGCCTCCGGGCCGCCCCTCTCCGGGCGCTGCGCCACGCGCCACGGCCCTCGCAGCCCGCACCGGAACCGAGAGCCCGCTCAGCCCGCGGGGGCTGGGGACCCTCGCCGCCGCCCTCCTCTCCCGGGGCCCCGCTGCGCCCGCCGCGCTGGCGACTCTGCAGAGGCGCCCGGGCCCTCACTGTCCCTGGGGCGCACCGAGCGGACGCTGGCGAGGTTCTCCTGCGAGTCTCCTAAACGGGCGCGTGGAGGCCAGGCGGCGCCCACCTGCAGGGGAGGCCGGGCGGCCGGGGGCTGGGTCCCGCACTCCGGGCAGCCAGCGGAAGGGGGGAAACCCGAGGCCCCGGGAACGCTCGCCGTGGACGGGCAGGCCGGGGACCCGGCTGCCCCCGCTGCACGCGGCTCGTTTTTCTCCCCGTATCCCGGCGAGTCTGGCCCCAGAACCGAGAGTTCGGGGTCAGGCGGTTCTCCGGCGGCGGCTTGGCACCTACTGCGGCGCCCGGGAGTTGGGCAGTTGCCCCGCGTGGCCTGCGGAGGGCGAAGGAGGGCAGGCTCCAGAGGCGCCTCCCAGCCTCAGCTTCCCCGCCTGGGAATGGGTGGAAGTGGGGTGTGTGGGGCCCAGTGTGCAGCGCGGCGTCTGGGAGCGCACCCAGAAGGCGCACCCTGGTGAATGAAAGGCCTTCGGGCCACAGCTACCCACTCCTCCCAGCTCCTTTGCAGCAGGAAGGTGACCCTGGGCTGGGGGGTGAGGGCGTCAGCCTCCCACCCCAGCCCACAGCCTCGGGACATTTGCTGTTCCCTGCTCGGTCCACAGGGCTAGGTTAGGGCAGGAAGCCACCAGCAGCTCGCTCCCACAGGCCCTGGCCATGGGTGATGGGGGCTTCCTGGCTTCATCCTGCCCACCCCACCTGGGGCGGGGACCAGCCCTGTGCCCAGCCCCGGGAGCTTGGCCTGTTGGGGCCCGGTCAGCGCCACCGCGCGATGGCCTCTCTCCTCGACCCACTCCCCACCCGGCTAAGGCAGCGTCCTCAGTGCCTCCCCAGCGCTGGCCACCAGAGGGAGCGCCAAGGCACAGGTCACACCCGTCACCCCAGACACCCTCCAGCCTGGGAGACGGGCACTTTCAACCTGGCCAGGTCTCTGACGTCCGTCCCGTACTCTTCACCCTCTGTGGCCAGTTTTGGTTTTTGTTTTGAGACAGGGTCTCATTCCGTTGCCCAGGCTTGAGTGCAGTGGTGTGATCACAGCTCACCACGGCTTCAACCTCCTGGGCTCAGTACCCCAAGTAGCTGGGACCACAGACGTGAGCCACTGCGTCCTGCTAATTCTTGTATTTCTGGTGGAGATGAGGTTTCACTACACTGCCCAGGCTGCTCTCGAACCCCTGGGCTCATCGCCTTGGCCTTTTGCCATCTGCCTCAGCAAACCAGCTTTCCCGTCCCCAGCCTGCACCGGGCCTGCCTGCCCTCTGAGGAGCCTCAGGGCCTACAGGGACAAATCGGCCCGCTTGTGGTCTACTCTGACCCATGTATATCCCAGCTCATCTTCTCCCTCCCCGGCTCTGTGGCTCCCTGGGCAGGATCTTGGGGACCATCTAAGCTAGTTCATGCTGTGTCTGCTCCATGCCTGTCCCCAGCCGGTGCCAGCCCCGGGGTCACAGAAGGCTCTCTAATAAGGGGCCATTTGGCGGGGGCTGCAGGAACTGGGGGAGCCATCGGGCAGCTGTGGCACAGGGAAGGCTCTCAGGCAGAGGGCAGGCAAAGGCCCCAAGGTCAGGAGGCAGGATCCCCCGTGGGGAACCAGCAGCCCTGTGGCCGTGGGGGCCACCTGTCAGGGGAGGGCAGACAGGCTCCATGGCCCTGCACAGACAGCACCCACGAGACACTGGTGTAGGCTTTTTATTACCCTCCGCCTCCCTCCCTGAGCCCAGAACAAGCTGGCTTGCTCCTCGTGGTCTCCTGGGCCCCACGCCAGCCTGTACGCAGGGGCCTCAGGACTGTGGGTGCAGCAGGGACCCGTGCCTGTATCCTGGGGACCATGGTGCCTCTGCAACAGAGGAAGCTTGGGGTCCCAGGCTTGGCCCCCACACACTGTAGGCTGGGGTGTCCCCAGCCCCAAGGGCCTGCCTTTCACCCGCTTCCAGCCAGGCCTTGACCCACACAAGATTTGTTTGGGTGGGGAGGATCCTTGGCAGCCTTTCCCCTCCCGTCTGCCCCGGCAGCAGGCACCCGTTACTCCCTCCCACTCTCGCCTCCTCTGCCTGCTCCTGCTCCCACCTGCACCCCCCGCCCCTGCTTCCTGACCCCCGTCCCCAGCCTCCCGCTAGCCCAGTACTTGCCGGTAAGGGCCGGATGCCTGGTGGTTTGATTTCGACACCCAGCCCTTCCACCCATACCCAGCTCCCCCGGCCAGCAGAGCTCAGGCCTGGAACCAGCCCTCCAGGTCCTCATAGACCTGGCTGCGAGGCAGGTGGGGGTAGCGGGCACAGATGGCACAGAAGCGCTCCTGCCAGTCGGCGAACAGCCGCACGCGGAGCTGGTCACGCCAGGCAAAGAAGCGTCGGTAGCGGCTCTCGTTCATGCCGGTGAGGAAAGCCGCCAGCTCGCGGGCCGAGGCAAAGTCGTCCACATGCACGAAGGCGTCAGCCGGCGCGAAGGCCTCGTAGGTCGCGCGCGGGGGCCCCAGCACCACGGGCACGGCACCAGCCGCCAGCGCGTTCCGCCAGAACTTCTCCGTGATGTAGTCTCGGTGCTGAGAGTTCTCGAAGGACAGGTAGAAGCGGTATCGGGCCACGGTGGGCAGCAGGCAGCTGGCACACAGCGGCCGCCCGCTGGCGCGGCCGAACACGTCCACCCGCAGGTGAAGCACCAGCTGCCGGTACAGCCTGGCACGCAGCTGCCGCTCCTGGAAGTTGCTGACCACCCAGGCGGCCACTCCGCTCTTGGCCGGCAGCGGTGGCGAGGGCCCTGAGTAGGGTTCCAGGCGGCCGTAGGGCACGAAGATGTCTGAGTCGCGACGGTAGCTCAGCACCCAGTTGAAGATGCCGCGGAGGCGGCCGAGGCCGTGGGCGTGGCTGGGCGACTCCATGGAGGCCCACACCCAGGGCTGCCCGGGCGGCCGCTGGGCCAGGGGCAGGTGGGACCGCTGGGTCTGCAGCTCGCGGTGGTGGAAGACCACGGCGTCGGCGCTGGCCAGCAGGCTCCGATTGGCACTCAGGCGGCAGCGGGCCATGCCGTAGCGGGTGCAGGTGTCGCCGGGCAGCTCTGGGGCCCGGTCAGTGAAAGGCCAATGCCAGACAAGGATGGTGATGGTGGGCTGGGGTGCCGGGGTGCCCCAAGGGGCCGACCCCAGCAGCCACAGGAGCCAGAGGGCGGTGAGCAGAGCCACCCCGGCCAGGACCTCCAAGCCCCGCAGCCTCTGTGTGGGGCCATTGCCTGCAGCAGCACAAGGGAAGAGAGGCTCTGTCGCTCAAGCTCTGTGGGACACCCACAGCCCCCACTCTGTGCCACCCCCGTCCTCCCCTCCTAGGCTGCCAGCCCTACCCAGCCCGGGCTTCCCCCCCGGGGCCAGACACTCACCAGCATTGCTCATCCGAAGTCTCCCGGAATCAGTCACCCAGGACACCGGAGGTTCTCAAATCACAGCACTGCCAGAGGTGCCCTGAAATCACAGCTTCGCCCGGCTCAGCCCTGCCTGGAGCTGTGCGCCTTTCATCTGCCCAAGGTGAGGGAAGCCAGGGAACCTTCCTCTCCTGCCCCGCCCCTGCCCCCACGACCTCTGGCATCAACCACCGTCCCCACCCCCATCTCCCTTGCTAGTCGTGGGGCGGCTGGAAGGGGTATGGCCACGAGGACTGCCCAGCCAAGGCGCTACAACGCCCTCCCCCACCCTCCACACTGGTCTCCAGACAGGCCCAGGGATGTCAAGCTGGGCAGGCAGAGGACGGGGAGGCACGGGCAGGCTTGGCCCAGGGTGGGGAAGGCGAGGTTCGGGCACTTGGAGCGGAGATGGCTCCCCAGCCCCCATCCAGCTACCCAGGCCTGGGAGCCACCGATAGCAGTTACACTTCCCCAGAGGCAAGGTGGCACCTCCCACCGCAGCCTCACCCACTTCCCCTAGCTCGCCACCGGCCGGCCAGCCTCCAGGAGACCCTCGTACATTGCAGACGTGCTGCGCTCGGGTCTTTGCAGGAGGACTAAGGTTTCCAATTCCCAGTGGGGCTGAGCACCCCACCCCATTCTGCCACCTCTGCCATCTGGGAACTCAGTTGCCCAGAGAGGGGGTCTGTCCTGGGGTCCTTAGCGTCTTCCAACAGGAGCCCAGCGCGTGCCCATGAGGGCCTGGTCCCAGAATGAACTGTGGAGGCTGCTTGGACCTTTTCCCCGTCCAGATCCATGCCCACAGGCGCCGCTGACTCTAGGGGTCCCGGGCAGCATGGTGCGCAGCTCCCTTCCTCCAGGCTGCGGCAGAGGGGCTTTCCAGGCTGGAAAGGGAAGGAGTCCTTGTGTCCCTGACGCAAGCGGGCTGGGGGCTGGCACCCGCTCCAGGAAGAGGAAGGCTGGACCCAGCCTGAAGTCCAGACTCCCGACTCCCTCTAGCCCGGACCTTCTACGGCAGCCCATATTAGGCACCAGCCAGGCTGGGATGGCCCTGCAGGGTCACCCTGAGTGCCAGCCAACACCCCAGCCTCCACCACAGCGGGGTCCCATCAGCTTCTCCAGCCCACCACATAGGCTCTCTGGTGCCATCTTAGCTCACTGCAACCTCCACCTCCCCAGGTTCAAGCGATTCTCTTATCTCAGCCTCCTGAGTAGCTGGGATTACAGGCACCTGCCACCACGCCCGACTAATTTTTATATTTTTAGTATAGGTCAGGTTTCACCATGTTGGCCAGGCTGATCTCGAACCCCTGACTTCAGGTGATCCGCCTGCCTCGGCCTCCCAAAGTGCTAGGACTACAAGAGTGAGCCACCACGCTCCGCCAAGTTTGTTTTGTGTGTGGGGGGAGGGGTGCTTTGTTTTGTTTGAGACAGGTCTTGCTCTGTTGCTCAGGCTGGAGTGCAGTGGTGAAGTCGTGGCTCACTGCAGCCTCCACCTCCTGGGCTCAAGCAATACTCTCGACTCAGCCTCCCGAGTTGCTGGGCCCATGGGTGTGCACCACCATGCCTGGTTAATTTCTAAATTTTTTTTGTAGAGACAGAGTCTTGCTATGTTGCCCAGGCTGGTTTCAAACTCCTTGCTCAAGCGATCTTCCCACCTTGGAATCCCAAAGCGCTGGGATTCCCGGAGTGGGACGTGCCTGTCCTGTCAGGTCCTCTGGGACCTCAGATCATGTCTCCCGGGAGGAACGGCAGCCATGAAAGGTCATCCTGGCCTTTGCCTCCACATCCTCTGAGGAGGCTGCCTCCCACCCACCCCCTGACCCTGTCCTGCTCCTGTCTCAGGCTCCAGGGGCTGCCAGCCTCTCCCCACCCCACAGTGAGGATGAGGCTGCCTTGGGAGGGGAACCAGACAGCTGGCAGCAGTCCCACTGTGCGGACGGAGGCAGGCCCGGGACAGGGTGGCAGGCTGGCTCCTCAGAGGCCCCCACCCCTGTGACACAGTGTAACCTCCCAGCTGAGCTGTGCTGCGGAACTTGTGTAACGGCTGAGGACGGAGGGGGGCCCGAGGGCGCCATGGGAAACTTGGTGCCAGAGCTGCTTTGCTCAGGGGCTGGCATCAGGGTGGCATCACGGTGCCACCAGCCCCGCCCTTCCAGTCCGCCCTGTTTTGGGTGATGCCCACAGGGGCACCTGGGACTTTCATGCCACCGCAGCGTTTCTCCTCAGAGCCACACCCCGGCTTCAGCCTCACTCCACCCCTTCTCTTCTCCCTGCAGCGGGCACCCGGTGGCAGCTCCCACAGGAAGGAGGCTGTCCTCCCGCGCCCGCGGGTGGCCCAGCCTCTGGCTGCTGGAGCCCACTGTCCTTCCTGTTTGTGCTGCCAGGGGCCCTCGCCATGTGCCTCTGCCACAGCCACCGCCTGCTGCCTTCCTGGGTGGATTGGAAGGACTCCCCCCCCACCTTCCCCCCCGAGCCTATTCCTCCTGGAGGGCCCCGGGCAGGGCGGCCACCTTGCGGCCCCGTCGTGCGTGGGAACCTGCGAGCTGGCAAATGGGGCTCATAGGTTTTGCTCAGAAATGGGTCAGAACGAAAGCCTCTTAGAGAAAAGAAAAGGACATGAGTCAAAGGGAAAGTCGGGGGGCGGGGGGGCTCCTCCTCTCTCTCCACCCAAGCCTCCCGACTCCCCGGGCTGGTGAGGACACAGGCACCAACCCCAGCTCCGTGGCCTGTGGGCATCTCGATGGTCCGGACACGCTCTGCCCAGCTGAGCCTTTGCTGTGGGCCGGCTTCCCGGCAGACCCCCACTCAAGAGGCCTCCACCCCACGGGCCCCACTCCCAACCAAGAGCAGGGCACTGGCCAGCTACCCTCTGCAGACAGAGGCCCCCAGGGCATCAGCAAGGTGCAGGGCACCCAGCCCCAGCCCGAGAGGCCCCAGGGAGCGGGCGGAGCCTGGCCGTCCCCTGACTGCCACCTGCCTGGAGGGTTGTCTGAGCAGGGCAGTCCCGAGGCGCGTCTCGAGCGCCTCCTAGTGGCGTCCTGCAACTCTGCATGGCTCCGGGGAGAAGAAAAACCACGACAGGGTGGAACCGGGTGCTGGAGAGCCCCCCTACCCCAGCTCGCCTTTGGAAAGGCGGGTGGAGCGCACGGAGCCTGGCAGGGGGCCGAGGGGCCGCACAGGGCTGGTGCAGCAGTGAGCCCAGCCCCTCCCCTCCACTCACATCCCATCGAGCCCCAGGGTGTGGGGGGATCACGTCTGTGCCCCTGTTCGCCTCCAGGTAGAGCTGCCAGGTGGGGACCCACTCTGCACCCCAAGTTTTGCCCATCCCTTCTGTTCTGCAGCAAGACTCACTCCTCTGTGCTGCGTGGCTGTGCGGGAGGGCTGCGACCCGGGGCTCTGAACCTGGGGCCGACCCACTCAGCTACACAGACTGGGGAACAAGATCGCCCCCCAGCACCAGATGCTGGGGAGGTCCCCACTTCCTAGGGTGCTAGCTAGGGGATCACATGCCCCACGTTCTGGGCCAGCATCTTACTGGGTCGGGGGTCGGGGGCATCTCCAAACAGAGGAGTGTCGCCCCAGGGTCTCTGCCAGGGTCTGCGCGCATCACCCTTGGGCATCTGTGTTTGGGAGGTCACCAGGTGTGGGCAGGGCACCAAGGGGGAGGTGGCTGAGGCTGGAAGAACAGACACACATCAGTGCCCCACTGGGCTTCCTCAAGTGGGAAGCAGTGGAGAGGCTGGACTGCCGGGCCAGGGTCAGCAGGCTCAGGGCTCAGAGTCCAGCCAGAAGCCAAGGTGGGATCTGCCTCTCGCTGCTGCGAGGGCCCTGGGACAGGGACAGGAACAGCAGAAGGCAAAGTGGAAAGGAAGTGAGCCATGGGCCCCCGGGAAGGCTGAGCCAGGCCTGATGCCCAGGATTGGAGTCTCCAGAGTCCCTGGGGGCCCCAGGGCAGCCCACCCACAGCCTGGGGTCTATGGGAGTAGGGGGACTCCTGATGGCTGGGGGCGGACAAAGTTGATGGCTGTCTGAATGGGCCGGGGGCCAATGAAAGCCAAAGAAGGTCGGGCGCGGTGGCTCACACCTGTAATCCCAGCACTATGGGAGGCCAAGGGGGGGTCGGTCACCTGAGGTCAGGAGTTTGAGACCAGCCTGGCCAGTGTGGTGAAACCCCGTCTGTACTAAAAACACAAAAATTAGCTGAGTGTTGTGGCGTGCCTGTAATCCCAGATACTTGGGAGGCTGAGGCAGGAGAATTGCTTGAACCCAAGAGGCAGAAGTTGCAGTGAGCCGAGATTGCACCACTGCTGTCCACCCTAGCAACAGAGTGAGACTCTGTCTCAAACACACACACACACACACACACACACACACACACACACACACACTAGCTGGGCATGGTGGCATGCACCGTAATCCTAGCTACTCGGGAGGCTGAAGCAGGAGAATCACCTGAACCCAGGAATTGGAGCTTACAGTGAGCCAAGATAGCACTGTTGCACTCCAGCCTGGGGGCCAGAGTGAGACTCAAAAAAAAAAAAAAAAAAAAGCCAAAAAGGTGAGGGGGAGCAGGGTGCTGAGCTGCGTGAGGCCCATGCCCGCCAGAGGACCCCAGCCGCCTCCAACCCTTCCCCAGCTCAGGCCCTCAGGCTCCTTCCTCATGCAGCTGCCCTGGGAGGGAGTCCCTCCTTGCTGAGTCCTGAGAGAGTGAGCTGCAGGGACCCTAGGGACAGGCTGGGGACCCCAGGAGAACAAGAGGATGGGACACACCGAGAGGCCAGCAGGATGAGGACAGGTGAGTGCTGTGACCCCAGGGGCTGACCATGGAGCTGCAGGGGGGCCTCCCAGCCAGTGACACCCCGGCCTGAGCCAGACACTGCCCTGAGGTGCCCGGGCCTCTGCACCAGCCTGCTCTCCCTGTGGCTAATGACTTGGAGTGAAGGATGGTGGGCATGGGCGCAGCCACACGGGCTCTGCATCCACTCTGCCCCATGCACACAGGCACCCATGACACCGGGGCCCATAGCAGGCAGCCGTCACACCCTGCCCACCACAGCAGTGCCCAGAGGGACACGAAGGCTCCCAGCCAAGGGCCAGTCCCAAGGTCACGGGTGAGCAGTGAACTGGGGGCAACGGGGCTTTCTGGTCTGGGTGGGCTCTGGCCTCCAAAACATACTGCTTTGGCTAAGCCAGGTTGCCCCCAGCAGGAGGGAGCCGTTTCCCACAGCCTGCCTGGCCCTTTTCTCCAGGGACCTGGCTGTACCCAGTGGGCCCTGTTTTCCCCATGCCAGGTGTGGTGGTGAATCCTGTCAACTTGACTGGATTGAAGGGTACAAACTATCGGTCCTGGGTATGTCTCTGAGGCTGCTGCCAAAAGAGATTCACATTGGAGTCAGTGGGCTTGGGGAGATAGACCCACCTTTCATCTCGTGGGCACCACTGAATCAGCTGTTAGCGAATATAAAGTGGGGAGAAAAATGTGAAAAGGAGACGGGCCTGGGCTCCCATCCTACGTCTTTCTCCTGGGCTGGATGCTTCCTGCCCTCAAACATCAGACTCCAGGTTCTTCAGTTCTGGGGCTCGGGCTGGCTCCCCTTGCTCCTCAGCTTGCAGACGGCCCATTGTGGAACCTTGTGATCGTGTGAGTTAATACTTCATAAACTCCCATCTATACACGTCACCCAGGCTGGCGTGCAGTGACGCAATCTTGGCTCTCCGCAACCTCCGCCTCCCAAGTTCAAGCGATTCTCCTGCCTCAGTCTCCAGAGTAGCTGGGACTACAGAGTGGACACCATCACGCCAGGCTAGGTTTTGTATTT